CTTCAGGACGGCCAATGCAGTGCCCTGAGATTTTCTTTTTGGGTGGGATACCTAATGTATTTTTCATTAGCCTTGTTCTCAGAAGTGGCTATTCCATTTTGGCTGAAGATTGTTGTGTGTGTGTGTGTATATATATATATATATATAAAGCTGAGGCACACACCCAGCATGGGACATTTGAGCTTGAACAGATAAGGTTTGGCAAAGTTATAAGTAACTGAAAACAGGGTCATATAATGGGAACTGGCAGGCAACCTTAACATGAAGTTGTGTTACCAGCCCCACCTCTGATTCTGTCTGTCTGATATAACTAACAGAGTTGAGTAAACATTTTAGGATGAGTTCCAATTTGAGCAGGAGAGAGGACATATACATTGAAAACTTCCATACTGCACAAACACAGTAGCAGATTTTTTAAGCTATCTGTTGATTAGAGCTGAGTATAGCATTCTATGTAAAATCAGAGTAACTTGAGATTTGCCCATTGTCAAGTTCCTGGAGCTTCTTCGAACATGCAGTGCTTAATGCAACATTTTTGAATCAGTAAAATTATCATTGAAGCTGGGTACAGTTTTATCTTTGTTACACAGAATTTAGCAAAAGTTTTGAAGGCAGCTTTTGTGATGCATTGTAGATATTGAGCTGACTTTGGCTGTATTGTGGAAGTGATATAGATGAAAGTCACATGGCCCTTGTTCTGAATCCCTGACTGTCTGAGCCCATCCCATGTATTTCTGAGAGTTAACAGAATTTTTTTTGACTTGTTTTAACACACTGTCAAACAGTCAGAAAAAATTATAGGCCTGATTTATCTTTGACCTGTGACCCTTTTTAATACCACTTAGATTGGTGCAAAGCGGTCATAGGGCAGCCATAAGGGCCCTAATGCCACCAGGGAATACCCCTAACATAAATGGCCCCTACATCAGCTCTGTAACATCTCTGCAGCAGAAGGAGGCATTCTAGCATTGGCTTGAGAGAGATGGCGCATGAGAGAACTGAGGGGGCTGGGAAATGTGGAGAGCAAAATGTAATGACAATCTTTTCATTCTGTCTGCACAGCTCTAGTGACAATGCACATGACATGCATCCGAAATAGTGAGCCCTATACATTTATTTTTGTTCTTTGGTAGAAAAATGTTATTCTCAAAAGGTCAAGTGTATTAGCACAGCTCAAATGATTCATTTGTAGTATGCCTAACAAGGCAAATGTGGTGCGATAAATCCACAAATATGAAATGTTGAATGAAAGACACCTGCTCTTTGGTTGACAAAAGCAGTATCTGTCTTTCATTTATTAAGATGGAAAGCACCAATATCCTATTTATTGAGAGAAATCACTACTCCAGTTCTTCATCTAATTTCCTGGACTCCAAACAGTATTAAGTTCCCACAACTTGCCAACCTTGGGGGAGTGAAATATATTCAAATAACTGCACCTGTGAAAGCTGTTCAATGCTGGTCAAAGTCAGTGTTCAATCATTTTTAAGTGTTTCTTTCACTAATGGTTTTGTTGTTTTCAATCTGACAAACACTGATTGCTTTTGTCCTGCTGTTTCTTATGCAACACCAGCCAGAAGTATTTGATGACTGTTTTGTGGTTACCTCTTTTGCTGAGCATTGTTAATGATGTCATCAAAATGTCAGGATGGTTCTGGGAACACAGTTTGTTAACTTAAATTCTTCCTATCAGTTGCCTTTGCCAAGATCTGAATTAATAGTGACTATTACATTCTGTGGTGGAGTTAAAAAAATGAATTCCAGGCTAGAGAATACCCCAAGATTCTAACAATTTTAAAGTACTCAGATTTTGGGGATGGAGGGTAAATTACTTGATTTGTATACCTTTAAAAATAAAGGCTATGCTTTATGATTTTTAGCATATATATGCTCACCCTGGCTCCATATTTATTATTATTATTATTAATTAATAATTATTAATAATGTTTGTATTGTGGGAGCACCTAGCAGCCCCCATTATGGGCCAGGTCCCCCTTTTGCTAGGCACTTTGTAAACAGAAAAATAAATTGTAAGCTCTTTGGGGCAGGGATTGTCTCAGTACAATTTCTGTGGTGCACCAGGGGAAATGAAGGTGGGTCAGTGAGGATATAGGAATTATGGGATGGAAGATGAGTGATTTGGTTGTAGATGCCTGCATGGGAGGGATGAGTGCTATCCAGGGGGCCTGGGTTGTGAGGGAACTCTGCACCAAGGCTTGAAGGGCCCTATCGAAGGCCTCTGTTGCTTTATTGCTCCATGGAGCTGAGGCAGCAATGCCAGGGAACCCTTCAAATTCTAGTGCCCTGGTGCAGAGATACTGGCTTCCTCCAGCACAGCTGCCTGGGGTGCAGGACTGCTGAGGCAGTGGCACTGAAGGAACCAAGTACCCTTGAATTAAGTGCTTCAAGGGCTCCCCATGGCACTGTTGTCTTGGTGTGCTGGGAAGCTGGGCAGCTAAGGCTGCAGCAAATCTGGAGACCAAATTCAAGCGCTGAAGTGTGGAACAGAGGAATTTTAAGTGACAATTTCAGTACAATTAATCTTGGAGTTGCTCTCAATCGTCCAATTTCTGGTGAGTGCCACTGAGAACTTTATTGTTAGCATTTCTTGAGGGTTCAATAGTTTAAATTCTCATCTTCTCATTTAATTACCACAGTGTTAAGCTCTATTAACTGTTTTATTTTTACTTTCACAAGCCTTTGCATTTCCTGGTTTCACATGGAAATGCAAGCACTCCTATAGGGCAAGAGAGGGTGTTCCCTGGTCCAGTTGAAATAATGACAGATTAGAAATCTGATGAAAAACTTGATCCTGGAAGATATTCGGCCCTAAAGGGGTTGGATACAAATCTTTAGAAATTCACCCCATCACAAAGCCCTAAACAACTATGGGTTTCTCTGTTCATCAGGCCAACCGGTATTTTATGTCTCCATGTGTTTTTAACAAGTCCAAGCATGTTCCAACTTCTAATGAGCAGAATCTTTGAGCCAAATTATCTCCCTTTTCCTGGCCATTTGTGCCACTCTGGACAAAATGGGGCCTGAATCTGTCTGTATATGGCCAGTTGTAAATGCCCCTTGCATAGGGGAATCAGGGAACGTAATTAGCTCCCTGATGTCCCTGCTGATGCAGATCTTAGCCACTGGAGAAAATCTAACCTTTTGAGAAGGCCAAGAAGTCTCTGAGAACTGTCCCATGCTCAATAACTGGGGCAGAAGTGGGTAGCTGGCCTCTCAGGGAGAGCAAAGGTATACTAATATTAGCTGCTTATACAATATTAAGTATCTTTCTATAGTTGAAAAATATATTGGTCCTGACTGAATTATAGGAAACTAGAGATGCAACAAATCCCACCAGCTCCAAGAACAAATGCAGACCTACCTCTATATCATGGCTGAGCTTCTTAACTATGCTTGTAATAGTCTGTATGTGGTTTTCTAGCAGTTGTCGTGCTGTTGCCTCCCCCTGTTGATGGCCCTTACTTCCTTGAAGATAAGAAACAATGTCATCTTTGATTCGAAAGGCCTGATCTAGGAGAACAGCTGTGGTCCTCTCCTGACTGGACAACCGTTTTTCTAGAAGATTCACTCTGTTTCCAGGAATCATGGGAATTGCAGGAAGGAAAGCTTGGTCCCTGTCCAGAAAAACACAGTACAGGGTAATGTCTGAATGAGGCTAAAGACTGGCCAGTGTACATTAGGTTTGAAATATGCTGCACGTTACACTTTCATATAACAATAGTTACAGTAAGGTCAAAATTTGACATCAAGAGTACTGGAATAATACCAGTTTCTCTTTTTCTTGCCCTGGTTCTGTATTATACAAGTAGGGTGACCAGATGTCCCAATTTTATAGGGACAGTCCCGATATTCAGGGCTTTTTCTTATATACAGGTGCCTATTACCCCCTACCCCCGTCCCGATTTTTCACACTTGCTATCTGGTCACCCTATATACAAGCTCCATGATAATAATCATTCATGAAAATCCGCCTAGATGATGGAGTAATGAGACTAGCTGATAAAACTTATAAACAAGCAGATTAATCTATCAGTAGGGCCCTACCAAATTCACGGCCATGAAAAACACGTCACGGACTCTGAAATCTGGCCTCCCCCTGTGAAATCTAATCTTTTGTGTGCTTTTACCCTATACTATACAGATTTCACAGGGGAGATTAGCGTTTCTCAAACTGGGGGTCCTGACCCTAAAGGGAGTTGCAGGGGGGTCGCAAGGTTATCTTAAGGGAGTCACGGTATTGCCATCCTTACTTCTGCACTGCCTTCAGAGCTGGGCAGCCAGAGAGCGGCGGCTGTTGGCCAGGTGCCCAGCTCTGAAGGCAGCGCTCCACCAGCAGCAGCACAGAAGTAAGGATGGCAATACTATACCATGCCACCCTTACTTCTGTGCTGCTGCCTTCAGTGTTGGGCAGCAGGAGAGTGGTGGCTGCTGACTGAGGGCCCAGCTCTGCAGGCAGCAGCGCAGAAGTAAAGGTGGCAGTACCATACCATGCCATCCTTACTTCTGCACCGCTGCCAGCAGTAGCACAGAGGTAAGGGTAGCAGTACCGCAAACCACCACCCACCCACAATAACTTTGCGATCCCCCCCACAACTACTTTTTGGGTCAGGATCCCTGCAATTACAACACAGTGAAATTTCAGATTTAAATAGCTGAAATCATTAAATTTACGATTGTTAAAATCCTATGACCGTGAAATTGACCAAAATGGACCATGAATTTGGTAGGACCCTATCTATTAGCAGCACTCTGTAGATTGACTGAACATAAATACCTACAGTCATAGAGCAACAAGAATGTAATGGCGGGGGCGGGGGGAAGCTGATAATGATATAGACCTGTTCTGCAGGAGAAAATATCACCGTTATCACCTTATTAATTGTGGGAATAACATAACTATATTGCGCAAAGTGACATGCTACTCCCTTTGTATAGATTTATTTGAGATCTCTGGAGCCTAGACCAGGGATCTCAAACTCAAATCACCACGAGGGCCACATGAGGACTAGAACATTGGCCAGAGGTCCGCATCACTGAAACCTTTTCATACAATGATACAAAAGTATAGTAAAAAATGAAGAGCAATATAGTATGCTATTAAAAGTCAATATATTAACTTTTTAGAAACTGTAATGTGACAAGTCAATGCTAATTTTGACAGTTATTTCATTTTTGGCCACTTAGCTGGCAGCGTTAATTTGTTAATTGTATGAGTTAAAAAAAATTTCTGTCAGTCTGTGATGGGGTGCCCATCCCACACAAGCCCTGAGTGGGTAAATGTGGGCCAGAAAGGGCCAATTAACCTTATATGTTGCACCTGGAGGGAAGCCAGGGATTGATAAGAACTAATGGAAGATGAAGCCCAGCACAGGGAAGATCTGGGCTAGGATGATAAAGCCAGGAAGTGACAGCAGGAAGGAGGCTGCAGGGTGGAGGTCTGCAACCACTCCCTAGAGTGAAAGGGAGTTGGCTAGAGACAAGGAGGCGGTTAGGAGGAGAGTAAACCCGGTGGTTCTGTCCTGGATTAGGGATTCTTACAAGAGGCTTAAAAGAGTGGAGTACCCACAAGGAGGTGCTCCTGCGGTGAGTGGACCCCTTTACACAGGTCTGCAAATGTACCTTGTAATTTCAGTCCAGCAGTGTTCTTTCTCACTTATGTTTCTTCACCAGTACTATATTCAGCAACTGGAATTTAGGGTCTTGTCTAACTCCCATTGAAATCAATGGAAAGAATGGCATTGACTTCAGTGGGGGTTGGATTAGACTCATAGTCAAAAGTTCTGTTGATGATGCATAAACCAGAATAGCATACAGCTCATGCTCCCCCTCCCTGCCCCTATTCTAACCCCTTCCCCAAATCCCCGCCCTGGGCCCCACCTCTTCTCCGCCTCCTCCCCTGAGCATGCCACATCCCTGTTCCTCCCCCCTCCGTCCTGGAAAGTTCTAAACACCGCCAAACAGCTGTTTGGCAGCGGGAAGCGCTGGTAGGTAGGCAGAGGAATGGGGACATGTCACACTGGGGAGGGAAGTGGGAGGGAGTCAGCGGCTATGGCGGGCCGCAGGAAATAGCTCCGCGGGCTGTATGCGGCCCATGGGCTGCGTGTTTGAGACCCCTGGCCTAGACTGTCTTATTTTATCTGTTTGTACAGAATTGTGATGCTTTGGGGATTACCTAGACCAATAAGAGGTTCTGTCATTGCCAGTCCAGTAATCTTAGGGTCCTTTGTGTTGTGCAGCTCTGGTTTCATTCCTTGACACCAGGAGCCACCCGACAAGCACAAGGTCTCACCCATGCTCTTACCAGCTTAGTTACTCCTTGCAGGGTGACACCAACAGGTCCTGAGTCTCCCTAAATCTGTCCTTCTCAAGTTCTTAATTATCACACACCCTGACTGTTCCCCCTCTGGTTCATCACCCCCAGTGTGTGAAACCAGCCCCCACATCACCACTTCACTTTGGGGGGGACACTCCACACAGTTTTCACAACAGAGACCTGCCTGGGGTAAAAACAAATAAAAATTTATTTAATAGAAAAGCCAGAGATTCAGAGACGAAATAGGAAGGGAAAGCAAACATATACAGATTATAGACACAACCTCAGACTTTACGCTTCCATATGAGATTAAATCTCTTTTCTAATACAAGTTACCCATTGCCTTTGAACAGTTTCCCAGCATACGCTTTAACCATAGGGAGGATCCAGCATTTCATGTACAGTGTCTGCCAAGTGACTGTCCCTCAGTTTCTGGATGTCAAACCACAGACACAAGTCTGTTTTTTAAAGGCTTTTTCCCCTTTTGTTTTTCCCCCCTCTTAGAAATGGGATGTCTGTGTCTTTCCATAACTTTAGTGGCCTATGGCTGTCCTTTCTTGGGCTGGACAGTGGATGCGTACTTAAAGTGGTTTCATGTAAACAACTGGCTTGGGAGGTGTCGCTACCTGTCTGATCGCTCACTGTCCTGCTGTGAGGTGCAGTCAAAACTTTATGAGCACAGTTCTCTATATACACAAATACAAATCCTCTGATTATTACAGAACATTACAAGCTTTCATAAAAGACCTTACTCAACATGTTTTTATAGCACAATAACATTCTATATAATCAGTCGATTCAACTGCTTATTCTTTGGGGTTCAAATCCCTTGTTCTACTTCGAGGTGTCTGGACCCTGATTGTCACAAGCTTGTAGCACACCAGGCTCAGATTAACTGAAGCCTCTAAAATGCTACTGTAATACAAATAATGAATAACAGTAATAATTTGTACATCCCAACCAGCCATTCAATGCAAACCATCAGAATGCCGTCACTAGACAAAGCCTTTTGCAGGTGCAGGTGTGTGAAAACGGAGGAGTTAGTCCCATGAATGCCCATGGACACATAAATCACAGTCTAGCAAAATAACACATATGTGGACCTTGGACAAACATAGTACATCTTCTCCGGATGCCCAGTCTGACTTCCACTGAAGGCAATGGCAAAACTTCTATTTGGTTAGAAGATAAGGCTTTCCATGAAAAGTGAGAAGACTGTGATATAGAGGATGGTATGGACTGTGTATGGGGCTCAAAGGATGTATTATGCCTGGTACAATGGGGTCATGGTCCATCACTTGGGCTCCTAGGTGCTACCACAATACAAATAATAGTAATATTTAATAAAGTTTTATAATAATACCTTTATTCAATGCAAATGAAGACCAAAAGGAACATCTCTACTGAGTATCAGAGGGGTAGCCGTGTTAGTCTGAATCTGTAAAAAACAACAGAGGGTCCTGTGGCACCTTTAAGACTAACAGAAGTATTGGGAGCATAAGCTTTCGTGGGTAAGAACCTCACTTCTTCAGATGCAAGAAGTG